GATCTGCTGGGGATCAGCACCTTGCTGTATAACGGGCTGCTAGATTTCTTGACAGGAAGACAGCAGACAGTACGGGTCGACAGCAACACCTCCAGCCCAAGAACACTGAATACGGGGGCTCCCCAAGGATGTGTGTTGAGCCCCCTTCTCTTCACTCTGCTGACCCACGACGGGATCTACTACAGGGGTGAAGTTAACCATCTGGCAGAGTGGTACAGCAACAACAACCTGTCCGTGAATGTGGAGAAGACCAACAGCAACTCTACTTCCTCTGCAAACTGAGAAGCACAAGAGATTCAATCCCCATTATGAGCACCTTCTACAGAGGCACAGTTGAGAGTATCCTCACCAGCTGAATCACTGTGTGGTATGACTCCTGCACTGGGTTCTGCAGGAAAAAATGACAACGGGTAGTGAGAGCAGCCAAGAGCATTGTGGGGACCTCTCTTGCCTCCCTCCCCAGGAGATCTACTGCACCTGCCTCATCTGGAAGGTCCTCTGCATTACAGGTGACTCCACTCATCCCTTCAACAGCGTCTTCAGTTTGCTGCCATCAGGAATGATACTGAAGAGCCTCCGGGCCAGAACACGCAGACTGAGAGACAGCTTCGTCCATTGGGCTGTCAGGATGCTGACCATAGCTGTTTCCTAAAACGTCGGCTGCATCCTTCGGAGGACCCGGCCTTCGCGGTCTACGTGGGCAGGTTCCTTCAAAGACCGAGAAGGCCGGAAGTGCGAGGCTGTGAAATGGGACGGTCTAGCCTTCAGATTTGCGTCACCGCTGTCTTGGTGGAGTTTAATAAACTCAGCCGTCTGCTCCTTGCTATCTAAAATATATCAGGACACTGGCGTAAATTCTCGATCATCTCACACTTCTGTTTAGTCGGTTTTCTGTTTGTTTATTCAGCTGTGTGAAAATCCTGGAGGAACCCACCCGATGGATTAATAAAGTTTTATTTAATCTAATAACTTTGATCTCAGCCAAACCGATTTACTCCGGAACAAATAAAACACCGAAAAAAGGCAAACAATTACATTTTTAAGTTATCCGAGTGACTTATATATCATGTTTAACCTGAGTAGCGAAAGAGCGGGGGTCTGAAAACGAGTGTGTAACAGCTGTGAGCATGAAGCGATTCCATTCAAAGACAATTTGCCGTTTATGCTTTTTAGTCTAATTCAACTTTATGTGTGGAAACATTTTCATGGATTAATGCTTCTATTGTTTTTTGAACTTTTTGCTGTTGAGAAAAGACAAAACAATAAAATCTAATTTAGCAGTAAAAGATGACATACAGGACAACTGGTAAAGCTGTTGTGGTCCTGTTTACACTCTGAGGTTTACCTGTTTGCTCTCGTCTCTTCAGCAATACGAGAACTGGAGGCCGAACCAGCCGGACAACTACGTGAACTCTGAAGAAGATTGTGTGGTGATGATCTGGCATTCTGACGGCCAGTGGAATGATGTACCCTGTAGTTATCATCTGCCCTTCACCTGCAAGAAAGGCTCAGGTAGGCTGGCTCAGCAAAACCTCTGGAGCAAATCCTTCAAGTCTAGTCTAGTCTGTTTGGTCTGGTTATCAATACAAGGCAGATATCTGAATGGTAGAATATATGTCCAGTGGTTTGGAGTCCTTCATAGGTGGAGCAGGTTTATCTTTTTGCATTAGGCTGGCTAAAGCTTCCTACAGTGTGACTCATACTGGGCTCTGTGAAAGAGTCCTAACACTAACAAAACAAACGTGTTGGATTTTGGCTGTTGCAAAAACAAACTCGACTCGGAGCTAACTAACGCAGCAATGTTTTAGCTTTTTACCTAAAATACGTACTGCAGGAAACACATTGTTTGATATGATGTCCTCTGGTACTACCTTCAGTGTCCTGTGGTGCCCCGCCGGAGGTGGCCAATGCTTGCATGTTTGGCAAAAAGAGGGTGGTGTACCCCGTCGGCTCCATCATTCGTTATCAATGCAATCCAGGATTTAGACAGCGCCATCTACCGCTGGTGCGCTGTCAACCAGACGGACAGTGGGAGGAGCCCCAAGTGAAATGCACTGATGGTGAGCATGCTCTGTATAGACTCGTACTGAGAAGTTATTTCTCATAATAAGTCTTTGTTTGGTTTTTCCCGCGCTGCAGTGAAAAGTCAAAGGAGAGCACAGAGGAGGAGCCGCAGGAGTCCAGAACGCAACAGCAGGCGTCGCTAAGGAGTCAAAATAGCAATTTATTATTTCAAAAGAACATTAATGGGACACAAAAATGAATTTTCTATACAAGTCAAGAAGATTTCTAGAGGCAATGTTCTGGAACACACACATGGGAGTGGCTACACCGTGGTAATGTGATTTTTGTTTTCTGTGGCTCCTGTCCTTATTTTATTGTTCTGGTTGTTAATGGTTATTGTGTGTCTTGTAATATATTTTTGTTTAGTATTGCTGGCACACTTTGATTCACAGATGGTACGTTCTGCTGTAGATGTTATCATAGAGACGGACGCTGGTGCAGGAATCATGTTAACATGATTCATGAAGTCAGGCACCAAAAAGTTATACGTGTGGGTGTATGTGGCACGCCGGAGATACTTCTGCAGGTTCAAGGTTATTCCTTCTTTTTCAAATTCAGCTGAGGGTCAGTTGAAGATTTACACAGTAGTGTAACTAGTGCAGTTACAATTAAATGGCATGAGCTTGTAAGACAGCTCTAAAGCTGAGTGATCCCTAACAGGCCGCATACATGAAGATATATGAGTTCAGTCATTTGGACTTTTGGGTTATGTTTGGGCAGAAATGATCCAAGTTTAACTAGAACTGAGGGGACTGTGCTATCACACCTGTTAGGTGGTTTAATTTAGACCCGGGGTTGTTTTTCCGAGTGTCACGTGAACAGACTTTGTAACAAACTGAGGACATAAAGTCACAATAGTTCTCACTAGTTCTCATTAAATAAATCAGTAATATTGTGAATTTATCTGTGATTTTATTGTTGGTATACAGCTGAGAGGTTCATTCAACTACTGTGGCGATCCATGTTATGCAAGAACTAGCCAAAAATCTATATTATTTAATATGAATATTATATTTGCTTACTGCATAGAAAGAAGATTCAGTAAAGAAAAACTCAGCACTTGTGTATCATTGACATTGTATGAAATCTCAAAATTCTGGGTGCCCAGAGAGGCCTTATGGACATGAAGCATGGCCGAGCTAAATCCAGTGGATGAGACAAATGAAAAAAAGACAAGAAGGAAGAATTTATAGTGAACAAAAAGCAAACAGCCAACGGTCCAATATGCCTTATTACTGAGCCAGTAACTATTGTCCAAGACAACAGCAGCATTAGCAGCACACACGAGCTTCTGCTCAGCTCAAGCTTTATTTCTTAATTATGTTATGCCTAAAGCAGTCAGTTTGTCACGCTGGCTGGTTTTAGCGTTCTCTTCTATGTTCAGGCATTAATCATCCGCCACGAGCTGTGCAGTGCGTAGCTTCTCAGCGGAGCTACAACAATGAGCCTGTTTCCTGTTTCATGTCTGTAACGTCAGAAGAAATGCACGGAGCCCGTCAGCTGCCATGTTTCTCTGCAAACACAGGATTTATTTGTGTGGACGAGTCATGTCTGCAGAGAAGGTCTTCATCTGTGCGAGAGACTTCATTATGTGTTTGGTGTTTCTCGATCATTCTGGCACAGTTCTCTCATCATACTAAATACGTTCAGCAGCCACTTTATTAGGTACGCCTATGCATTACAGTAATGCACCCATGTCAGCGAGTCAAAGCCTTTAGTCATGCAGACGTGGACAGTCTGCTGAAGTTCAAACACACAGATGAATAACTCGTCACAGATGTTTCTGTTGTCACAGATAAACTGGCGCACACTGTAGAAAAATGTCACCTTATGGGACCACAGGGGCTCTTTGCTGCAGACGTTACAGTTTCTTTATTTCCCAACTTTGACTGCATTCATTCGTACACTTGTTTTATGTCACTGATGCTGTACATGGAGGCTGTGCCTCTTTAAAAAGCATAAACCAAAGAGCAAGAGTTCACCTTCAAAGCTGTGCATGTTTCTGACATAGAATCTTTTTTACTGAATAAAATGCATCTATTCTATAGTTTCTATTGTTGTCTATATGACAGTGTTGTTGGTTTGATTAAAAAAGACGAAAAAACTATAAAGAATGCTTCCTCACATGTACTGTGTTATTGTTGTATATTGACTCAGGAATACACACACATGCACAGACACACACACA